CGGGTACGGGTACGGGTACGGGTATGGGTACGGGCTGGTAGACGTGTATGCGCGTCCGAGGCGCAGAGACCCGAATGGACACGAGGTTGGCTGCGAGAACAACGCTGTCGAAAGGGCTTGTGCTGCAGCACAAAGCAGAGACAGCTTCTCGAGGCGCGCGTCGTAGCGCATGGCTATGCGGGTCGATTGGGGATTAGCAGGCGTTCAACTCGGTTGAGAGAAGAGAGGCAAGTGGGCAAAGGAGGGCGAGAAAGCGGGGCGACTTGGCGTTGCGCTATATTTCCGAGTCGCTCGAGCGCAGCGCAGCGTCAAGATGAAGATGAAAGTGCGAGCCGCAAAAGGCGCCTCGCTTCGTCGTGCCGACCTCGCGAAACAGATCTCGATGCAAGGAATGCATTTCTAACGACCACATTCCCCATCTCTTTCTCGCGTCCCTCCTATCCATTCAACCCTCGCTTCCCCCCATTTCCCATCTCCCCAGCTCGCGCATCCCCTTCACCATGTCCAAGGTCTCTCAACCGGAGCTCAAAAAGTTCCTGGACAAGAGGATAAGCGTAAACATTCAAGCAGGTCGCAAATTGAACGGCACATTGAGGGGTTACGACATGTTTTTGAATCTGGTCGTCGATGAGGCTGTAGAGCTGGTACGACAGGAGAGCGGAGCTTGGAAAGAGGGGGGCAATTGTGGAACAGTGGTGAGCATTTTGCTTGGCTTGGCACTCTTGTGGCTGCTGCGAAGGAGAGGGTGACGTCGGCTACACAGCCGCTGCAGCAGCAGCGTGCGCCTGACTGATCACGCTTTCCCAACGAACCCCGCACAGGTCATCAGAGGTAACAGCGTCACTTCGTTGGAAGGCTTGGAACAGATCAAGATTCGATGAGGTGCATCGGGTATCGGTTGGACAGCAGGACCACGTTTTTTGGGGAGGCAGAGTCGGAATCGTGTTGCTCGAGGGTGGGCTAGCCTTGGCTTTCTTGCCGCCACTCTCTGCGGAGCAGGTAGAGCAAAGCGCAAGAAAGAGGGCCACTCCTCCCAAGGCACTCCTCCCCCAATCCAAACTTTCCCGCCGCCGTCGAGGACTTTTTCAAACTGTGGCGTGCTGCACGCATACGCACATTCCCCCTCATCTCAAAAAATGTCGCTTGATGTGCGCAAACAGAAATTCCCAATCGACGAAAGAAAACAAGCCTTTCTCTTTGCTTTGCTTGTGCTCCACACGTCTTGATCATCTCTGGTAATCGTTCTGCAATGTGAATGTTGCTCGTCGTGACAGCAAAGTTGGGATGGGTCTCCACTGCAGGCATTCATACTCGTCGCTTCAGTCGCATTGAGCCCTGAATCACACACACAGCACAACTCCCAAAAGCAAGCGCTGAGACACTTTCTAAAAGAAGGGCATGAATTGCAGCTAGGT